TCAAAATGATTATATTACAGGTTAAAGTGACTCGTCAAAGCGAAAATTTGACTCTACAGGCAAAATTGCATAAATTAATCGACATACTCGACAGCAGATCATCAGGAAGCTTTCTCTGCTCGGCGATTGCTTCTTCGTAAGATTTCTCTCTCGTACCAAACATCAAGATGAAGGCGATGGCCGCAGCGGAGATGACAACAATGCCGACGTACACAAGTCCCGTCTGAACATCCATCTTTGGTTGTTTTATCTGTAAGAAAATTATCATACTATAAGCATCAATCTGTCACATAAGATAAATTACAATCCTCAGTCATCGGTTGTGGCAGACGTAGAAAAATTTCTTTTTTACAATATTTTCTTATCTGTATCAACTCGGCCACGTAGTTGTTTACCCTTCAAACCTGTCGGAAGCTTTTTAAGATTCCACACGAATCAAAAGATAAAAAAAAAACACTATCTGATCACGGGAAAAACTATCTCTTGTTCGGTTACGGTAAATAAAAGGAGTATATAAGAAATCGAGAGAAAAAAATCCAGAAATCGTTAATGTAACGATGCTCCACGTTGAATTTTTTTTAGTGGAAAGCAAAGCGGACCGGTCGCGAGGACGCTCGGAGACTTTGTCCTTGAGACACCCCAGTGGGGCATCCCAAGATAACGGTGGAACGTGTATACGTGTGCAGGCCGAGCGAGAGCGGAGTGAAACAAATCACAGTTGAACGGGCGTGCGGAGTAAATCCGGGGGCCGCGACACCGCGGCCGATGATTTGGCGGAACGGCATATGGATTTACGGGGCGCGGGTCATCGACATCGTCGCGGGGGACTGACGACGTGACGACTGGTGACGACTGACCGGCAAAATTCGGTGCGTCGGTGGCACGTTTAACGGTGTTACGGTGCGACCGGCACGCCGTTGCTCTCTCTCTCTGTCCCCCGGCGAGGGAGTCTCGCGCGCACGCACGCACGCACGCACGCCGACGCGAGACGCGACCACTTACCGAGGGTGTTTATTCTCGTTGATTTCCAAGACGCGGGTGCTGCGACGGACGCGGCGAAAGGGGTCGCGGACCAGGATTTCGTCGCGGGATCGGCACGCTCCTCGCTGCGGACAGCACGGCTGGGTGTCGCGTAGACGAGGCGAGACGGAGTGATAGAAAGAGAGAGGGAGACCGGAGCCGGAGAGGAAAAAGCGAGCGCGACGGAGCAGGAATCGCACGCGCGCGGCTCGATTCCCCGAAGCACTATGGCGGCCGGACGTGGAGCGAGCTGTACTAGGCGCCGCAAGCCACGCCTATCGGCCGCCGGCGTCTCCGATTGGCGCGCGGCCGCTGCCACGTATGCAGGATACGGCGCACGGCGCCCGACGGCGACGGCCGGTCGGCGGTTGCGCGACGGTTCTCATCCGCGACGATCGTCGGATCCCCGATTACCTCGGTGGGATCGTATCCGTGAATGATCGACGATCTAATTCAATCGGCGAACGCCGTCATGTCCCGTACTACGTGGCACGTGCACGGTGCACGACGCGCTTTCGATGCCACGAATCCGCAAGTGCGCGTCGGCGACATCAAGTTCATACGATGGCCAACCCAGGCCAACCTGTGGCCAACCTCGCGAGCGCGAAAGCGCGGTTACCTTCACGCCGGTTGTTGACAATTCGGCGCCGTCGATCAATCGAGGTCGCGGTTGATCGCGCGATCTTGCGAGTGCGCGCGCTGATCAAACAAAATTGTGGAACACTTGCCCACAAAAGAGATAATCAAATTGTATATTTGATTAAGTCAATAAAATGTTATATGTTTCAACAGGTTGAATGCTGGGTCTGATTAGCTCTTTCCTTGTCTGCGCCGGAAATTTTTATAAAATCCACATCTCAATAAAATATATATTACATAAATGAAATTAAATTGTACAAAATTTGTCTTGCGAAATATGTTTATTATTATTAATAAAATAATTGAAGAGCACGCGATCATTTTGATATACAATTAAAGAGAAAAACGCTTTATGGTTAGACTGAATCTTGGTATAGCTTAATAATAATAATAATATTGTATGACTGTATGAATTTTGTATACTTTTTCCAAACTCGTAAATCGATTTTTTGCCGGGTTTTGAAACACAACTTCTAGTTGAAACAGTATAAATTCACAATCAATATTTGATTAAATCGATTTAAATTTTGATGCTAATAAGCATCCTTATTAAATTACTGTAAAGAATTTATTGCAAAAAATATTACGTATATATATATATATATATATAATTATTCACACAATATTATTATATTAGGCTATCAAGATCCAGTCCGGACCGTAAATGTCGTTTTCCTCTCTAATTGAGTTCATTATTATCACTTCAGTATTAATTATATTTACAAAATTACAATTTTTACGAGTGTTTATAGATATACATATTTGTTTAGCTTGATTCCCGCGCGTTTTTTTAAATCGTTCTCTCCGTCAAGCTCCGGATTGGCTCCGCACCTAGTGACCAATGCGAACAGTTTCGTCGGGAGAGTTCTCGCCTGCGATTGGCCGCGTAGCGGAATGAAAACCGCCCTGACGAAAGGGAGGCTCCCGACGAAAAAAGTTCCTACGTTATCACCGAGATCGTCGTTTTCTCTCTACCTATTTTTTTTTTAATTTTTTCAGAATCACCGTTATCGGTTCACCGTCGGTTTTCCGATCGACGTTCGCGGTTCGATCTTCGATCCGCGAGGGAGGAATGTAAACGTCATTCACCAGGTTGTCGTCCCCACCCCGCTGACGGGATTCAAAATGGCTGCGGAACGTCGCAGCGGAGAACGTCTCGGCAACGTCGACGAGAACGCGTGATTCCTTCGCTACTTTTTTCTCTCTTTTTTTTCGCATCCGCGCGACAATCCGCCCGCCGCGCGCCTCTCGGCGTCGACCCTCGCCAACCCTCACCGAGGAGGCCCGGCCGCGCTCTCCCCCCCAGTCTCCCCCACCCCTCCGCCGCGACGGCGCCGCTGAAGGAGAGCCGCGAAAAAAATGGCGTCCCGCGACACTAGCTGATTCCCGCGAGACACCTCCGATCTCCGATGTCAGCGAGGAGGAGGATGATGATTCCTCATATTCTCCGGCGTTCTCGCCCCTAACCGACGGTAATCCCACGTCTGGCGGTAAGCGGTAAGTCTTGTCGCGCCGTTGCCATTGGGTTTCGCGCGCGTGACTCGCCTCGCGAGTACTTGACGCGCGAGTTGACATTGAAGTTGACAATTCGTAGAAGTTGACAATTCCGTACAGTCTCGCGTCCAACGTAACGCGAAACGAGGAAGTACCTCGCGCGAGGTGCTCCGCGATCGTCGTCGACGCGCGTGAAATGTTAGGCCTCGCGAGACGCGAGGGATGCTCCGTTTTTCTCATACAAATTATCAGCCAAAAGGCTCGAACCGCTCCGGAATGGATATTGTTGAACGTGTCTTTTTAAATTGCATAAATTTCTTGTTTGTGGAAATTTCAATTTAGCGTTGCATGTCTCTTGTTGTGATAATATATAGCCTAAGTGAATTAAAAAAAGTATGCGGATTGGGGAGTCTTCGTTGGTGGCATTCATTAAATAGCGTGTGTTATGCACGGTATTATTAGTAGCAGCTGCTTATTGTAGTTGCAACAGAATGATAACACATATGTCAATAGTTCAAGCTGCATAATATTTATAGACACTACTCAATAGGATAATTGGATATGGATATATATGTATATATAGTGTTCATGTTCCTCAGTTCATAGACACATTTTATACAATATATATCAGAAAAGAAATATATAGATTTATCTAAGTTTATCAATTAATTTCGTGACATAAAAATAAGGTAATAATTGTTTTGTCAAGCTAAACTGTACATACATTTTTTAAATTAAGTTAATTATTTAATTCATTAAACATTTTGAACATTCCTTCTGTTTCTGATTGATGCTTGTGATTTATTTGCCTTTTGTTTTGCCATTACTTGAATGATATAATTTCAGAACACTATAGTGACTTTTTGAATTCTGTCAGATTGTCAATATGACTCCTCAATTGGAACGGAAGCGTGGCTCGTCTGTCAGCTTTACCCGGGCGAAGGATAGCGAAGATGCCGAGGACGAGATTCACATATCTCTGGCACCATACATACAAACATATCTGGCACATAGTAGCCAGGGATTGGGATGTTGCGGTATCAGTTTACCTGTGCCGTTTGAACGCGCAGCACCGCGTTCCTGGTGGAATCCCAGATTCGATTCGGAAATCCTCGAGGAACAGTATAGGAGAAGTGCCTTTCCTCAAATTAGATTAAGATTTCGGTTTGTACTAATATATTATTATTTATATAACGAGTGCATGATTGCTATACATATGTGATATGTACATGATTAGGAAACATTATTATTGGACTAATCATTAGTACTTTGATTACAATCTGTTTACAATTAGAAATAGAAAGGGTTCTGATTGATTATTATTTTTTTGCAGGTACGCTCTTACGTACATGTTGCTAGTGTCCTTATCGTGGCTGACGTATTTTGTGATAATCGGGGTAGAGAATGATACATCGACATGGGCGGCAATAGCGGGTGTTTTTGGTATCGTCGGCATTATGGTTTCGGCTGTCTTTTATTTAACACACACAGACTACTACAAATCCTACGTATTACCGACTTCCCTGGGAGTTGCATCAACACTCTGTTTCCTGTCCTTACTCTTCCTTGCCTTGGTACCGCCTCACGTGGACGGATTGACTTTGGTCGGACACTTCGCCTTGTGCTCCGAGATCTTATTAGTCATTTATACAGTGCTGCCGATGCCACTCTACGCCTGCGTGGGGATATCCACGCTGTACTCATTCATGTTTGAGTTCCTGACTGCCTATTTGTATGGCTCGAAGGACGCACGACAAAGATTTTACACGAGCGAACGAATTGTACAAAACGATACTTCAGGAATTAATAATACGACAGCGGAGGAAGAGAAAGCGTCAGTACTTATGCATTCGTCTCTAAAGGATCCTCTAAATGTTGCTGGTCTACAGAATGTGATACGTAATATTAGTGATTTTACTACAGCAATTAGTACAGAGGCGATATCGAGATTGCGTGAAGGCAGAGACACGATGAATGTCGGACCGAGATACTCAGAAACGGTGGCTCAACGATTACACGATGCCCTAAGCGACACGAATGTTTTAACGAGATTAAATTCTAGCGTCCCATCAATGATAACCGCTATTAATTCCACCGTAAATTCATCGCCAGTAGATAATTATGCTAACGATAACTTATTCGCCGATGATATTGACTTCTCCACGAATCTCGCAATAAGGATCTTGATGCAGATTTGTATTCATTTGATAGGCATGCATATTTTGATAATGACCTTCGTGAGAATGCGCGGTACGTTTATGAAAGTCGGCCAATCCCTGCTGGTCCGTCGACAACTGGAAATGGAAAAACAACTGAAGGAGAAAATGATACACTCTGTCATGCCGCCAAAGGTCGCGGATTGGCTCATGGAGGAGAGCGAGCGCGAGAGAGAGCGAGAGGACTCTCTGAAAAAGGGCTCGATACCGTCCAATAACACTGACATTCGTTCGTTGTTTCGCCCATTCAACATGCTCTCGATGGAGGACGTCAGTATCCTGTTTGCCGATATCGTCGGATTTACTAGGATGAGCTCGAACAAAACCGCGGAGGAATTAGTGGGCATTCTGAACGATCTGTTCGAACGTTTTGATGATCTATGCGAACATCACGGTTGCGAAAAGATCTCCACATTGGGAGACTGCTACTACTGCGTAAGCGGATGTCCGGAACCAAGGTCCGATCATGCAAAATGTTGCATAGAAATGGGGCTAGGTAGGTGGCACATTATTATATACATTATGAGCATTATCAGCTTGATCTCAATTGTGAAATTAATGTTATGAATTGCATTCTAATAGCCATGATCGAAGCTATCAAGCAATTCGACATCGAAAGACGCGAGGGCGTGAACATGAGAGTGGGTGTGCACACAGGCACCATACTCTGTGGAATTGTGGGCACGAAGAGATTCAAATTTGACGTTTGGTCGAATGATGTGACTTTAGCAAATAAATTGGAGAGCACGGGAAAGCCCGGCCGTGTACATCTGAGTGAAAATACTTTGAGATTTCTGGGAGACCAGTACATTACGGAAAATGGAGAAGTAGTCAATGGTAAGTAAAATAATGTGAAGAAAAGAAGAAGAGGAGAAAAGAGTAACGGAGATCTGAATTTTATATTACACGCGTGAATCTTTCATCGTTTCAGGGGTAAAAACTTACTTCATTAGAGCCCGTAAATCGGATTTCGTGAATCAATTTATCACGAACGTCACATCACCCAAGAGCATTTCGCCATTGATGCAATCGCGGAATCGCCTGGCGTCGTGCAACAATCAGGCCAAACCGCGAAGTCATTATCTCCATATGGTCACGAACGCGAGCAATTACAGGATGAAGGCTAATTCCTTGCCTAGTATTTTGGATTCCGAGAACGACGGTGACATCACGGACGAGAAGGAGGACTCAAACAAGAGTCCGACGTCCACCGCTAGCTACGGCAAGAAGAAAGTGCGGCATAAGCGGTGGAGATATCTGCAGAGACAACGGACAACCGAGGAAATGACACCTCTGGAGATCGAAGAGGGAAGAAATATCGCTATGGCGCGAGCGAAACCCGATATTCAGACGTACGAAGAATGCAATGGATTTAGACGGGTTAGTAGTTCTTTGCCTTCTTTGCTAATAGTGACTTACTTTATGATTGATTAGTGCTTACGATCGCTTCGCAGGTCCCTCTGAACAACGGCGTTGAAATGGATCCGAATCCTGTACCTTCTAGTCCTTTATTATCTGGTCAAGAGCCGATTAGTAATGCTTCTTCCATTTGCAGTAGAAAAGATTCCGGTATCAAGAGCAATAGCAGGCGAAGCAGTATACAACAGCAGGTACGTTTTTTGTAAATCTGGTATATTTTCCAGAATTCTTTTACACCACTCAATACATTGCTTTATCATGTTTTTTTTTATGACTTTGCAGTTGTTCCTTATGAATGGCATAACCCAAGGTGATCTATTGGGACACAGGGTCAGTGGCTATTATACTTCTAGTTCGACGTTAAACTCCACTCACGAACCTTCGTCATCGGTGCCCCCTTATCTGTTCCCTCCGATGATAACTGATACATTTGGCGCGTGCTTTCATAAATTACGGAAGCAATCCGATCTCCAGTTAATTAGGTGAGACAAATCATTCCTCGGCACACCTTACAAATTGCGATGGATGTTCTTTTTAAAGATTTATCTTCTTGAAGGTGCGTCCAAGACAACGTGAGCTCTCAGCGTTCATATTTTGTCAAACCACCATTGTCGAGCGTCACTCTCTTCTTCAAGAACAAGGAAATGGAGAAGGAGTACCGAGAGAATGCGCACAAGGCCAACGAGAGCATGGGCGATAACCCACCTACCTTAGCCACCTCGAGATTCAACACGTACTTTGACATTTTGATATCTGCCCTGGTTTACACGGCTATCACAGTCTCGTTGTTCCTTTTGTGCAAACCGACGATTTATTATATAATATTCTCCGTGCTCGCCATCACCGTTCAAGTGATCGCGGTGTCGCTCTGCATCCGTCGACTTCTCTATTCGAACACGGCTCACGCGACGTTCACGCCGAAGATCTTTAAGTTTTTCTCCCGGTGGTATCCGTGGCACGTGTGCGGCGCGGTCTTGGTCGGTCTGCCGATTATTTCCATCTTGCTGAATTTCACATGCAACAGCTTTCGGAGCCTCAACAACTTCGAGTATTACTACAGCTACTTGATCTTTGTCGGACTAGTCCACTTCTGTAACTTCACGCAGCTCAATTGTTGGATGAAAAATCTGCTGGTCACACTCACCGGTATACTGTTCATATGTCTTGTGGTGACTCACATATCACCATATCGGGAGAATCTCAGTAGTAATAATAGTATCAGCAGTGGCAACAATCGTATCAACGACTCGCAGTTGATGCAGTTAGGCGCGCTGCATCCGAATCTTATCAAATCGCTTGCGAGCGAACTGAAAGGTGGGAACTTTCCAAACGGTACGAGGGATTTTCTCGCCACTACCGCTTCAACGAGACCGCCATCGCCAGTCGCGAAATATACAGGAGAGCGAGAAGCGTCGCCTACGACTCGTGGGATATCTTACACCAGCTATAATGAGAGATTGTACAATTCGGAGATATATTTGGATATGGTGTTGCTATTGCTGCTGGTCTGGTTCCTAAATCGCGAGTTTGAGATCAGTTATCGATTGTCCTTCCACGGCAACGCGGTGGCAGCGCGCGACAAGACGCGCGTGCAGTCAATGAAGAATCAGGCCGACTGGCTGCTACATAACATCATACCTAAGTACGTGGCTGATCAGCTCAAGACCACCGCCAAATATTCGCAGAATCACAAGTCCGTGGGCATCATCTTCGCCAGTATCGTCAACTTCAACGAGCTGTACGACGAGTCGTATCTGGGCGGTAAGGAGTACCTGCGTGTGCTCAACGAGCTCATAGGCGATTTCGACGAGCTGCTGGAGAGGCCGGAGTACGTAAATGTCGAGAAGATCAAGACGATCGGCAGCACCTTCATGGCTGCGAGCGGTCTGAATCCGCAGGTGAGGCAGCAGAGCGAGCACGAGTACACGCATCTGTTCCAACTGTTGGACTTCGCCGTGGCGATGCACAAAGTGATATACGATTTCAATCGGGACTTGTTGGGTTTCAAGCTGATTCTGCGAATCGGCTACAACTACGGCGATGTCACGGCTGGCGTGATCGGCGCTACCAAGCTGTATTACGATATTTGGGGCGACGCGGTCAACATAGCGTCGCGAATGGACTCCACCGGGGTCGCCGGCAGGATACAGATGGCCAGCAATTGCTTGGACGTTCTGTCGGAACGATATGAATTCGAGCCGCGCGGGCAGGTGTACGTCAAGGGCAAGGATAATATGGATGTGTTCCTGCTGAAAGGAAAGAAGAATGATACGACCGGTACTTGAAGATTCAACGTCGATTATATCGGTATTCTCCTACGCGAAGATTATATGTCGATAATCTGATTCGCGGCCTGCAGTAATTGCGACACTTAGATTAGATCTGTCCATTAATATTCTGAGACATTTTTCATAGTTTAACATCTTATAACTTGAGTTTTTGGATAGTAAGTGAACCGAGTTAGATTAAAAGTAATCTTTTTGCCTTTTATTTTTAATTATTTAAACACTTGTGCATTGTTATATTAAATAAAAATGTGTTTTTTAATAATCTTTTTTTATTTATTTTTTTTTTGTCAAAATAAAAGAAGATAATTTTCTTTCTTTTTTTTTGTGTTGATAAATGTTTGACGGAAATAAAATTCAATAAAATTCTAAAAGTCGAAGAAAGAAAGGAATTCATAAGTTTTATAAACAGTTCATAAATACTTATACTAAGTTTATAAATATTTACCATAATTTAAATTTTTTAACGTAAGACTGAAAAACGTCCAGATATTAACGGTGGACAGGTTTAACAGTCGACTCAACAGACTCGTGTTGATTAGGGAAACGTGTGAAGCGGATGAGAAAGAGCAAACGGAATAGAATAGTATATCTTTTTGCGAAGCACAGCAGTCATTACATGCGCTGCTGAGAAAAGAAAAACGATACAAAGCCTTATTCGTTGACTGCTCAAACTCTATTAGCGAGAGATATTTATTAACAAGAGATATTACTGTATTTTTGTAAAAAATGTCGAACGATGTCTGAGAAAAAGATATATCGTGGGAAATTATCCGAGATCTGCCTTTGTCTTGAGTACAAAACTGAATCAGTGGCGAAGGGATTTTTTTAGAAGCGTTTTACGTTATCGAGCATCGAAATGGTAATTATTTGTGTATATGTACATATATATACAGTATATAGACTATACTGTGATATAGATGCCACGAATAAATTTTTTGCACGAATATATATGTATAAATACTTGAACGTCGAACTTGAAATGCAACTGATGTCTGTTTCTTAAGTCGAGTCACGAAAAGATCATCCTTCCCTATCGGACGATCGAGTGACGATAAAGCGCTGGTGCGATAAATTGGAGAAGTTGGAAGTTAATACGTGTGGCATTCTATTCTATTCGATATTCTAAGAACAACAGCGAAGTGCGTCCGACGCGATAAAAGTTCAACGAAACTCGAATACCCCGTTAATTATGAGTTAAATAAATTTTTAAAAGTATAACATAAAGAATATGAATTTACACAGTCTCTTGTCTTCCTGTCTGATATTGTGACACGTCACGTATATACATACAAGATGAATATAAGACAAAGCGTTATAGGCGTCGCTTGAAACTTGATCTATGTAGAACAAATAGAAACGAACGAATAATAAGGGAAATTTTCATCTTAAAAATTTATATCTTAGATTGTGAACGATGAAAAATGATTTTACCAAAGATCAATAAAATTAACGATTCAGGCCGCGGACGTGTGCATATGTAAACATAGAATATGCTTAAAATATGTTGTATAATAGAAAATAATACACGTGCGTGGAATATAAAAATTAAATCGCACACATTCCAAACGTAGCTCACGAACACTAATACAATAAAGTGCTTCTTGTCGCCGTTAAGTAAACATCTCCGTTGTTATATTTGGACATAAAACTGCTACGTCGGATTCCAAAGAGTATCTTGTTGCATTTTCTTTTTAATCTCAACGACAAGCGACACCGCGCTCGATGGGATTTATGCTCTGTATAAAATAACGTGTGTATGTGTGTATATTTACATTATTTACATATATATTTGTATTTTATATATGTACAGAATTTTGAGGATTTATCCGAAAGACTACGTTAACACAAGAAGCTAGGCGTTTGCGTTTATGTAAATGATACGCATTGCAAACATAATGCAATAAATGGTCTGGATCATAACTGTTTGTATGTTCTGCATGTAATACGCTTTTATTGACACAAGGATTCTAATTGTGGTCTTGATAAGCAGCGTTTAACTCAACGGAAATATTTGTTACACGTGAAAGTAATAATGTCAATAATTATGTATGATAAAAGAAGGACCTGAATGTCGGTTCCGATTCCTGTAAATATATGCTGTAACATATGATTTGTGTATGAAATAACTTTTTTGGATGTATTTCTTTGGAGAGATTTGAGGGAGAGCTACGATACTGTAACTTCGCGAGTAATCGCTTTGATTTGGCGTATCACCTTGGCACACAAGGCTTACGCCGAAAAATTTCTACGATTACGGTCAATTATAAGATTTTGCGTTTGAGTACGTGTGAGATAACAATTCGTATCGCGAAAGCGTGCTCGCAAACACGATGATCTTTATATCTATATGTACAAATGTTACGCTCGCCGATCTGTGGGATGAGAGGAATATATACGTACACGTTATGAGATATCAAATAAAATATGTTGCAAACCGTATATATATATATGTGTATATATATATATATATATATATATATATATATATATATATTTGTCGAGCGTACACAAGTTCTACGGACAACGAGGCAGAGAGACTCCAGGCTATATTGACGTACATATAATTATTGTCAATGCAATTTCTTTATTACAATATAATATATACAATATTATACCGCTGACTTCACTATAGCTGATGTACAAAAAACGGGCGAGGATTCTCGTCTCTTTCTCGCCTGGCATAAATCGTTGGAACATTTAATATTATAACAAAGCGTGATGTGTGTGATTACTTTGTTTATATATATGTATATAAATATAGATAATATGTAAATTATATATATTGTTTATGTACATATATATAAACAAGCGTGAAAAGCCATCCGGGTACTTTCGTTACATTTTCAGTTAAATGTATAAATGTAAAATATGATTTCAAGTATCACATTGTTGTAAAATTAAACTCAAGTCAGTAATAAAGAATTTTCAAAAAATAGTACCATTGCGAATTCAATAATTTTGCAACTCGGTGAAGAGCAGTCGATTGTGAAACAAACCGATTTTTGCCATACCAGAATGGCCCCAGATAATTATCATAATTCATTGCTGTACACGCAGACTTCATTGGTGACATTATTTTGTTCACGTAATGCACGATTTTTAAAAAGATGAGTGTGAAATATGACACGTTATGAAAAATTGGCAATGTGATACGCTTTTTCGATGTACATTCAGTGTATACATGCGTATATCAGGTGTTCCCATTGTAGAGTTTTTTTCGTCTCATGGAACAATGCAACGAAAAGGAAACACGTTGTATTACTTTTTCTTCGTCATCGATGTTCCATCTATAAAAAGTTAAATGCTTAAGTGAGTACTTTCCATCACGTTATGAGTGATGGAATCTTCTTCTTTCTCGTTAATTATAAATCAGGAACTACTCTTCTCACACAATCTACCGATCGCATATTTGTTCCTAAAAGCGCAGTGGAATGCTTGAGAAAGTAGTGTAGACTACTGATGCAAGAATTTGCGAATTTATTGAATTTAAAACGTGTTGTCGTGCGGACTTTTTGACAGAGGAGAAAGATAAGCACGTGAGATAGAAATCAAATGTAACAATGATCACTTGAAAGTTCGTTCTACATGCGATTCTAGTCGAGTAAATGAGAATAAAAAATTTTTTGCGAAAATGGACTAAAAGCATTTTTGATATGTGACACTCCAATGGTAGTAGTCTTGGCGATCCGTGCGTATGATACTTCTTCGATCTTAAAAAAAGTTTAATATTCTAAATATGCGTCTGGATTTTTCTCGAAACGATTTTCGCAACAGTTCACGTGCAAGCGGTTACCTACTTCTTAACTCGTTAATTGTCATTTGCGCGCTTATCGTTATTTTGCATTTATATTAAGATCGTAATATACAGATGTCCATATGTTCTCGCATAGATCGTGTACGTATACATATACATATCTTCTTGATTAAAACTGCCGTCTCGACTTGTATGTAAATATAGTAATCGCGTAAATTTAATTGATTTGTATGCTGTACCGCGATTTTTCAATTTTTTCAACGTTCGCGAGAAAACGGCTGTAAGGAAGACGTTGATCGACTTTTCGTGTACATACTCTTCGGCGTCGATTCACGCCTTGAAACAAATCAACGAATCGTATAACATGAAATCCGAAACAAATATATATATATGTAGCGTGTTTTGTGTAGACGAGCGATTACATTCGTTCTCTTCTACTCTGATATAAGCTCAAACGCTATAAGATTTTATTGTACAATATGTATATACTTATATGTATATATATATATAGATATATGACACCGATGTAATAAACTATACCTCGAAATCCTTAGCGTAGTATAATACAATAGATAGGTTCTTTTTAGCTGCATTCTTTCCACAAATTTATTAGTTCTTTTTCTCTCCCTAAATCGCGAACATATCTGTTTTATTTTAAGTATCACTAAAAATAAAGAAGGCTTTCAGCTAAAGAGAACAGACCTAACGTGCTACAGACACTACAAACTTCGGAGACATAATTTAGAAAATAGCACAGGAAAAGAAATAGTAAAGAAAGAGAATAAGAAATATACTACAGTGTTTAGTTTTGCACACATCAGTCACAGCTTGCACTCGCGTTTCTATTCTTACTTCGTTTATACATAAGCAATGAAATTCACTTTGCGGCTCGCTCACTTTCGCGTGTATTGTAAAATTTTACTCATCACACATTAGTCTTATCACAATAGTCTCTTACGTCTTCATTGTACAATTCCCCCACAATCCTGAAGAATTTTTATGTGCCACGAAGGGTGGCATTGTGTGATGCGTTTGGAATTATTTTTATAAAAACGTTGATTAAAATGGACCTTGAAAGGATGACAACGCATCGAAAAATTTCTGTCGCTACCCAAGAGATCAAATGTTCATTTTTTGATGTAACCAACAAAGTGGGACGCGAATGATATCGACCTCGTTCTTCCTCCTGCGCGAGTCTTTAAAATTAATTAGAATAAATAAAAGTAACGACAGAATGTGCAGTGTAAAAAATTATCTACACTTATCGCCGAAACGCGTGCTGCATCTTCGTCAGTTTGAAATTTACGATCGATTTCAGAGTGAGGAAAGTGCAGAAAGATCTCCCCCCGATTGCTAATCATAAATATTTATGTACTATGAATTAGATGTATTTATAATTTATAATCCGAGACTTAATTTTTGGAGCACCTAGTGATTGAGTGAGGGCACGGTTATGCCCGAGGATTCCGGAAGTATCGCCTCCATTTTCTACGTGATTGCAATTTTATCAAAAATTGCATGCTACTACTTTTCTTGTGTACTTTCTTTCACGAAATACATTTCTTTTTTTTTAAATGTTCTCGTTGAAAGTAAAGTATACAAGTAAAAAATAATCTTTGAATTTGCAATTGTATAAATCCGAGGTGATACCTCGAACACTTTAACCCGGCTTTATTTACGGCCATCAGTAAGTCGCCGTAAAAAAATTTGTAAATTTTCCTAGAAAGAAACGCACCGTTTCAGCTGTTTTGAATCGAACGTTCTTTCTTTGAGCCATTGATATGGCACCCTTGAAAAGAGACCTTTTTACAATAACTTATAATTATTTATTGAGTTAGACCAGCTATGCAAAATGTGATTCTCTAAAACTGTCTGCTACGTAGATTCAGCGAACAGTGCTGTTATTCCCGTGTCAGTGGCATTCTTCGAGATCTCATCCACGCGCACTAGATGAGGCTTAGCAGATACCTCTATCCGCGGTAAATTATCTATCTTGACTTCCTTACGGAACAATTGCCCTACGCTTCTGCCGATAAGCTGTAAAAGACGCATTGAGACCCGATTATTATTAGACCGTTTAAATAAATAAAAAGAAAAAAGAAAGAAACATACAATAATAGAATCATGATAAATCATGGAAATTCCTTTTACAAAATTTTTAACAAGACTTTAAATGCAGACTTCAAGTTAAAGAATTTACCTTAAGGTATATAGACATCCTTTGGATATTGCAATTATATACCTGATTAGTGATTTTCTTGAAGAGATCCTTCTTTCCCTTCTCGACCTTGTTGCCTTTCGTGCTGACCACCGACATTTTCTCATCAAAGCGCTGCAAGTCGGCGGGATTGACCCCCGGGATTTGCTGCATCACTTCGATAATATTCGGAAACTTAGGTCTGAGGCACTCGTAAACTTGTGCGCCTAGAGTGATAAGAGAACCCTGATTGGCCTCGTGCTGACCGTGCAATTGTAAACCTTGAAGAACGGCGACCATAATGTGTGCTGCCATAGAGGGAGTAACACTGCCATCAGCTGCCAGTGCTCGGACTACAGGCCCAGTCAACATTGTAGCCTTGAGACTCGCGTTTGAGTCGTTCCATGCAAGCGCCCTAGAAATACACATTATTAGTTAAAGATACTTGGGAAAAAAAAACTTTTAAAAACTCTTAACAAATTTTCATTTACAATTTCACAATAAAAACGGCGGTGACACTTCTATTCATATGATTATATTTTACCCTAATACGCATAGGACGACGCTGTGACAAGTAGATGGATGACGCAAAACAAAAGTCCCAAGCTCGCTGACGACCTCGGCGACGATGCTGTTTCCCCGCGAGAGAGGTGGATCCACTGCCATTCCTCCGTTGTCCTGTTCCATGGTATCTGGAGGAGTGGCGTCGCATGCGGCTCCACCGACCAGAGCCACTTTTAACACGTCCACGAAGTCCCTGGTCAGATTCCTGTTGAGCATGTCGTCGATAACTTCCTGCGTATCGGTGTTCTCTTCGTCCAGACCGCCGGACTCGTAGAGACGCGCTATGTACTGCCACTTTGCGCTTAATCTTTGGCACACTGAAAAAATATCGCGTGGAATGATAAGATTGTTTCGTTATTTATTTTTGTTTGACATGGTCAAACAAAAAGCGCAGAAAAGTGGGAAGAAAATGGTTTTGAGCACTCACTGTGTGTGGATACGTGAGCCAATACAGGTACTAGTACGCTCTCGTAAAATGCCGGCGGGCATGAGTATATAAACGGCTTCATAAACACACGTATAATCGGCCGTAGTCTATAGTCTGGAATCACCTAGAAGAGATAGAGGCATTTTTTAATTTCTGTTTGATAACATATATATAAAATAAAATAAAATAATTAGATTACCTCCATATTCGAGAAAACCGAATTCAACAAGGCTGGTGCAAGTCCAGGCAACTGGTAAAAATCTCGACCGATCATGTGACAGCCACTACCCAACATATGGTAACATTGGTCATGAATCGTACTCAGGAATGATTGCATTCGAACCAGAGAGGGGCCTGAGGCCTGGTCTGTTTCACTATTGTTGTCGTTGGTTACATTCACGCCCAGAAGAGTCGCCTTTTCCGACTCCAAAAGGCCATGAGCATTTTTGTAGCCCTAGAATAAAAACAGATATATTCAACAATCTGTTTAACAAGAACAAGATATTTCTCTCAATGCAACTCCGTTATTTTACTCGCAACGATTAGTAGTTGCGCGTCTTAAAAAACTCAATTTTTAAAATACCAAATATTTATTTCTGTAACTACATTTCTGTCACACGTTAAAACAATTATAAATCTAATTAATTACAAGTTTAATTTCGTACTCAATTTTTTGCATCTATATCAACTTTGCTTCCACACCTCAACTCAATTAGTAATAATATTAAATGTTACCTCAGATAGAGCGGCAAGAGCGGCATGACTGAAGAGATCATTCATTGTTCGCAATAGCGCGAAAAGTGTTGGCAAAATGGGGATCACATGAGGTGTTGCTGGGTTTCGATATACCGGATTGCCGCTCTCGCTGAGCGCGGCCACGAAGCCACCCCTGGCCGCGCGATCGGGATCTTCCGGGATCGAGCACCGTTTAACCACGCTCAGCACAGTACAAATACACATCATGAGATCACTACGATTGCGTCTGGCTGGATCTTCCAACATGTTCTCCACCGGTGGTCTGTCCAGCCCCACGAATTGCATAAGTTCTAGCGGTCCCTTGAACCAATCCGTGCCAAGGGCAATGAACTTCCTGGACGCATCACCGATCACCTCCGTGACGAATCGAGTCTGTCTCTCGTAGTCGCAGAAGTGATTCGAGATGAGGAGCAATGCCTCATATAGCATGACACTCTCCACTCGAGACAATGGGCTTGGGTCCCGGGTTAAACTGCGCACCATTGTGTGTATCTGTTCGAATACTGGCAGCAATAACAGCGGATACTTGAGACTAATCTTCACCATAAGGCTAGCCGCGTGTCGCCGCACATTTTTGGCCGCTCGTGAGCGATTGCGCTCGTTCTCACCGGGCACCTCAAATACCAACGTGGCGAAGATCTTCTCAAGAACACGCGGTAGAATAGCGACGCCCGGCATGGCCATCGAGCCAGTCGACATCGACAGAAATACGAAAAGCGCACTTATACAAGACAGCAGAGCGGATAGAAGCCAAGGATCTTGCGGTGAATAGCCCAGACAGAGTTCCAACAGCTGTAAACCGGTTTGAACACTTGGCCGCTCATTGATTAGCAAAATCCTGGACACAACAGAATCTAGTGCCTGCGCGAGGGCTTCCCATTCGAGATACTCTCGGTCGTTCTGATCGCTCTTGTATCGCAGATTTGACATACCCTTGGTGATCTTCGCGGTCAGCCACTGTTGCACGTACATAAACGTTACTAAAGGTGCCACCATAGTTGCGTTTCTAAATCCTTCTAATAGATCCATTCTGAAGCGATGTAAAAAGACGTTGAACTCCTCCTCCGAGTCATAATCGACCAGGCAGTACGTGGTCATGCCGTTGCTCTGTCTACCATGTGGATACGTAACGCGGACCAATTTGGGCGCAGTATGTTCCACGTATTTGGGCACATACGTAAGCAGCAGCGAGTCTGTTTTGATTTGTTCATGCTTAAATAACATCACCCAAATCGCGTTCGCTAAATGCGTGAGCGTGAGGCTCGGATACATGGTGAACGTGAGCACGGTGTCCAGAAAGAGATTAAAATGTGTCGGCCGTATGCTAGAGGCGTCATCTTTTCCCCATACGGCGCAAAGTTGTGTCGCCATACCAGTCAGTACCTGAAATGATAATAATTACGCGAATAATGATCGATTTTTCATACTAAACCTACAAGATCCAAATTTATTGAGCGCTATTATTAATAGCGATTATCATGATAAGTACTTGTGTAAGCTTCTTCAGAAATAAGTAATGATTTTCATGGAAATTCGTAGGTCCAGCGAGGGGCGGTGGAGCGGTGGCTGCAGTATAAATAAATCTCAAGGCCTCCTCTGAAAACAGGATCATCAGTTGCTTTCGATCTTCAGCCTTGCCTTTGCGATTTACAATTTGAAGCAGGCATTCAGCGGCGGAGCACTGAAATATAGGATCTCCTAGTAGGAGACACAGTATCTGCAACAATCTTCCATCTTCGGCCATCACATGATTTATAGAAACCCACTCGACAAATCCAGTTAACGTAGACAGCACTACCTGTTATAATAAAGACGTTAGAGTTCGTTGAAAAACGCCAGTTACCAATATACGTATCCTTTTCAGATACAAGAACTTACTTGAACGACTTTACTGTGTGCCGCAGCTTCGGACGTCTGTCCTAAGGCACTTTTCTTCTGAAACTCTGAAAAGTGTTGCTCCATTAGTCTTAGGAAGAAGCTAAAGATCTCAGCCATGTTTGTAGTCAACGCCTGATATATATCTTTCCTCCTCTGGTTAGATTCGAGGGTCTGTAGGAGTGCCACATCCTCCACCAATCTGAGGAACACCAACAAGACTAACTCGGTTTGACTCTCGCCTCGCGTGCAAGCCTGACTGAGCTCGGCCAACAGCGTGGGCCATTGCTGGGGCCATTCTCGCTTTATCATCTCGACTACGACACGAGACAGAGCGTCCTTTATGTGTGCCTCTTCCTGCAGAAGCGGTTGGGTGCCCTCTTGAAGTAATTTCATGGCATTCTCCTTGATGAAGATCTTTTCCGACTGTGAGATTTGTGTCCACCGATATTTCACACAGTGCTCCATCAACTGTAGACCAAAGTGGCGCACCACTGAGCTTCTGTCGGGTGATTTCTGTGCCAAGTACAGACCGCATTGTGCACATAATGGTGAAGACTCCTTGAACCTCTCACAGGCATTGTACATCTCCAGACGTTGCGGTTGAGATATACCAGGTGACATCATCATCTCGACCACTCGAGCCAGTTCTGCCGATATCTGGGCGACATCGCCCACTCCGAACTCCATTCCTACTTGCACTGAAGTAGATGAATGAGACAGTTCAATATACGTAAGCTATAATAAACAATGTTTGTTGCATAATATTTTAACAACTACCTCATCAAATAACTTTATCATAACTTCTTTATCAAATAAAGAAAGACACAGAAATAAAGAGAAAATAAAGGGAAGAGAGAATATACAAATTTGCTATCCTATCTCTATGCTAATCGACAACATATGTGTATCGCTTATCACGAGAAAGACGTTCCTGCCTAAAGATTTTCCTCGGGAATAATTAGCAATCGAGAACATCTGGCATCATCAATAAACACATTTATATAACGCAATCCAATAAATTTATTTTAACGATTAACCCAAATTTGATTTTTATTGAATAATTCTTCGACGACGGACTTCGAATTTATCATTGTATAACGACAACACTTCGCGCAACTTCACGAAGCTGACGCAATATACCGTAACGCGGCGACAATAAGCCGGTATAAATAATCAAAACGAGGTTGCCTTACGCAGGTGCAAGCGTGCACAGCCGCGAGGGTGCGGAGAAAGAGCTCGGCGGCTGCGGCGGTGTCGCGCTCGTCGTCGACGAGGTCGTGCTTTCCGGTCGCGGTGAATATTCACAGGCGGACACGGGCGAGCACACGCGTGAGCAATCAACAAAACAGATTGTCGCGTGCACGCGCACCGACCATGCCTTGACTTGACACCACTCGCTCGCTCACGTACTCACCTGGGTGACGCGGAACTGCGGATACGAGACGGAGCTTGGCGGGGCCGCGTGGACGGCGGGATGCTCTCCGGCGTCGCGCCGCACGTCAATTCATACCTGCACCGCCGTCGTCGGGAAGGGGGGAAAAAAGAGCGCAGAGTCGATGTGACGATCGTGTGCTACGCTCGCCACACACAGCAGGCTCGGACTCGGACTCCGCCAGTTTTCCGGAGATGCGGCACGCTGGTGGCTGGCTGGCCGGACGATCGCATACGCGATCACGTGCTGCCCTCTCGGCGGCACCGTGGCCGCGCGGCCGCCGCCGACGGGCCGACCTAACCTAACTCGACCGGGCGTGTGTACACACACGCCGCTTTTTCACCCGGATCGCGGTGAGGAAACAAGCTGTATCCCGGTCTATTTGCTTCCGAGTGTTTCCCCGATGTATTTACGTCGTGTATCTGTAATCCTCCTCCTTTCTCTCTACTGTTAACGATCGATCGACGCGGTAAAATCGCGCGAAATTAACCTGTCTCCCGCCTCGCAGGTTATGCCGGCTCTGTTCCTACCCGCGCACACACGTACGTATCAGAGACGAGGTAGAGAGGATGGACGAGGCAGTCACCACGCCGCCTACGTTTAAACGGAGTTTCTTCGAGCGGATCTACTGCGTGGAGTTTTCGCCGTACGAGTGGTCGCAGCACCTGATCTGCATCGCCCTCGCCAAGGAGATCGTCGTCGGCACTGTCAGATTTCAGGTTCGTGCGCGGAATTGACGCTCTCCGATGAGAATTGTCATCGCTTTTTTTAAATTTTATTAGAAATTGTCAATATGTAGATTAAAAAAAAAAAAAAAAAAAAAAAAAAGTGCAAAATACATGATTGCGATACAGGATTTAATAAAGTTTGCAAACTTTAAATGGCAGGATGAAGACGACGCCGTGGAAGACATGGCGTATAATCCTATCAGAACGTTTAATCACGATGCCAGGCCTCATGCGATCACCTGGAGTCCAGAGACCTCCCTAAGCATCGTCCCGAAGATCCTCACGTTCTGCGTTGCTGGATCAGACTTCAAAATAAGATTGTACAACAGTAATCTGAACGATATCAATGTGTACGAGGTAGGAATCCCTGAAAATTATGTGAGTTTACAGTATTGTTGAATTTGACGCAAAGGCTGTGATGAATGTTTTAAAGATTTTAGAAGGTCACAAAGATTATGTAAACGCAATCTCCTATGAACCAGAGGGTGAATTATTAGCGTCGGTCTCCGACGATCATACGAGTAAGCTGTGGGCGGTTAAGGAAAACCAAAAGTGCGTGTCTACATTTTACTTGACATCACCTGGTATAAGCGTATGTTGGCACAACGAAGAATCCGGCAAGCTCTTAGTAGCGGAAAAGAATGGTTTAATACGTATGTACAACGTCAGGAGCCAACAAGCGATCATGTCCCTCGACTCTGGGGCCGTTCCCCTAACTGCAGCTGATTGGGGACCAAATCCTTTGAAAGTCATCTCGATGGCTGCTGGAGAATTGCTGCTTTGGGACTTGTCCAGACCCAGGTAATAAGGAATTTGACTTTAAATCCTCCTGAATCGCTGGTGCACCCTTTCATTAAATTTGCTCTATTTATTTCCAATTCTAGTCGGCCTCTTGATGAACGAACGCTTCATGTGGAAGGTGGTTTAACAGCAAAAATCTCACATGCGAATGAAAACCTGGTGTCAAGTATTGGATGGCCGGATAATTTGTTGAAGGTTGTCAATTTAAGATCGAAAGTAGTGGTATTATGCGGAAAGGTGAAATTAATCGGCGGTATGACGTGGCATTATAAATTACCCTATGTCTGTGCTGGAAGTGACAGAGAGCTATGTTTTTGGAGAATAAATATAAATTAGGATACATTGGACAGTTATGTTCAGAAAAGAAATCTCTTTCCAACCTTTTAGAATTTAGGATACTACGTAGCGATTTAGAAAATAATTTCTTTTATTATGCTTTAAGGCTCCTGGGTGCTCGCCTCTTTTATCCTTGTTTGATGACGTCAGAAGCGGCGAGTACCCAGAAGCCTGTTAGAAGAACAATAACTTTCAACACATCACGAATGCATTGAGGTAAAATTTTGATCCAAGCATATTCTCTTGTTGCGAATGTGTGGTAAATTAAACATTTTTGTATGCGTACATACATTTATATATGTATATGTAAGTCTCTCTATATCTCTCTATATATGTATATGTACATATAAGTCTCTGGAGATAAAATTTCACACTTTTGTAGAAAAAAAAATGTATTTTTATAATGTACTTTACAACTACAAGATTTACATGGATAACATATAAAAGTAATTTTTGATGCACAGCTTATCATTTACAGCGATATAAAAATCTTAGTATATTTTGCTATTTTTCTTTATACTTCTATTTTTCTCAAAACTCTTAACTTTTATTTAATGAGATATTCACAAGTTTTCCGATAAACTTTGTTCCATTCCAAATTTCTTTACCTCTTTCCTTAATTCTTCTAAAAATTGTAAAAGCTTGTCACTATCTTTCAATCTGTCAGCAATTAAACAAGCTTTGTGAAAGACGATGTTGGGATTCGGTATGCAAACTCGTTCTTCATTGAATTTATTTATATCAAGTTTGAGTTTTTCTGCTTCTTCTTCGATATTCCTATAATCACCATTTTGGATCTCATCTTTTGTTTCCGCTGCAAAATATAAATTTAAGATTAATATTTGTATGTACAAGACAATAAATTATTATTATGAAATTGATCTGTATATATCGTATATCAAACAAATCAAGCAAAAGTTTAACACACTAGAAGAAAGAACTAACCCGCAAAAGCCATAAGTTTGTCTTCCAGTTGATTATGTTTAGAAATCTTGATCTGATGAGATAGGCTTGTTTCATTTATGGTATCTTCTAGCAAATCTAACATCAACTGCACAAACTGCGTTTCTTCTTCGATCGATAGCTCCTCTAAATATTTCGTTAACCAATTCAGGAGACCGATACATAAGTAAGCACGTATACTCTGGGACACAGGATAATTGCTCTTTGCATAAATGCTGTCCTCGTCCGTTGGTTTCTTGGTATCCAATTTCGTGAGAACATGCGTGAAGAATCCTTCTTTTATCGTTACTCCACATTTCGTCGCTCTATTTTCGAATTCGTGCACATTGCCTAATGCCATTGTTAAATACTTTAATCGCATTTCTTTTGTATCGCACGTGGCCGCCATGGCAATTTGATAACTGATATTTATTTGCATCTGAAGAAATATAATACAATGTGTTGTTATAACGAAAAGTGAGTATTGTTATTAAATACTGTCTACGATAAGAGTATTGGCCATTTTTATTTCTGTCTATATCTTACCACTTTATCGTTTGTTAAATTTTTGAAAACGATGTTGGTATCATCTTTCTTGCGCAAAGCACCATAGTAAGAAAAACCAAATTTTTCCTCAAGAGCTTGTAGCATACCGGTACTTTCTTTTCCTTCCAACCACATTCTCATCATGCCAAGCTCGGTCTGGTTTGAGAATGTGCTCATGATCATCTCGTGGGCGTTTATATGTACGTTCAGATACTGCATACAAAATTTTTAGTTGCATATGGATATAAAAATGTACATATGTATATATATACATATATGTGCGTGTTGTGTGTAAAAATGCACCTGAACTTGTCGCATGTCTGCGATAAGGGAATGCGCTTTCGACCAGTCTGACTTCATGAGAGCACGCGTCATCGCATCCACAGCTAAGGACGTACCATATCCTTCGTCACCGCTTAAAAATGCTAATTCTGACGCTACCTCCAAACAATGTATGTCTTTTCGTCGAGAAAGAACCTTTGCTGCCTTGTCAAAGTATCCTAATTTTACGTGACTGATATATGGAACATCAAAAGTTAATTTAATAGAAACTTTTTATAACTCTATTAATTATTGTGAAAAATACATTTTCGTTATAACTATACGACACTTACGATTATTAACAAGAAGTATTAATTGGAAAATAATTGTTTTACCATTGAGCTGCCTGTTCCAGTTGACCTTTATAAGTGGCCCATTCCGCCCAAGATTCTAATATTTTATTTATAAACGTATCAGCAGCATCCAATTTACATCGCGCGAGTGCATAAGCCTCTTTAAACATCTTAGCATTTATAAATACTTCTATGGCTTCGTAAATTTTGTGTACAGCTAGTAAATATGATACTGCTTTTTCCGGATTGTTTTGAATTACCAATTGATGCGCATACGCCTCGCACATTTCTTTCCACACTCTGTAAGATTAGTCTCGATTGTATAACTAATATCCACAAATTATATTTGTAAAAATATATTCATACGTACTTCGCGGAAACATTAGGTGCAAGCGATACTAAAAAGTCATTCAATTGATGATCTTTGGCTGCACTAATTAGATTGTTTTTCAGATCATCACACCACATATCCATCTCAGTAACGACATCTGAATTATCCTGTGTTAACTCTGAGAATAAATAATAAATCATTAATAACGATAATATGTAAGTAATTGTAAAGTAATAGTAATTGTAAAGTTGTATGCCAATATAGTGTTATGTACAGTTAAACTTACTTTCATTGGAAATGAGTGTTAAAAGATCTTCTTTCTTTTCGCAAAATAATGACGACTTCGTGATAGCATCATCTTCTTCGATATGGTTACTTCTTATATCATACTTGATAAAATTCAGGATTTGAGATTTATCGCTTATTACTTTGTTATATGTACTGAAGTACGATTTTCTCTCTTTCTTCTTTGGTGGCGGCACTTGAAGTTCTGTAATTGAAAATCTCAACTATTATCGATGCCAATCGTGTGTATCGTATCGGTTGTAAAAAAAATTATGTATTTACTTGTGGAAGCTACTTCGGCAGGTTGATTCGCTGGTATGGTCGAATTACTCTCGAGATCATCCGTTTTATTTTTTGTCAACTTTTTCTGCTGTTTATGTTTTCTCTTTATGGCCTTAATGTCAGAAAGTTGCTTCGGCGATTGCGCCGGTAAAGTATAATTCCATATGTGTAGCGTGAAGTCTGACGAACCGGTCATTATCAATTGTGGTTTGAGAGGACTCCACATACAGCATAGTACAGGTCCATCGTGACCCACGTATGTGCCCATCAGTTCCTGTTTTTCAACGTTCCATACCTAGAAAATGATATTTGAAAAAAATTACATAACGATATAAATTATTCTGAAAATATTTAAATGAGATTTTATATTTACAACATGATATATAAGTGATATAACACAATGCTGTATGACACAACATATGATGAATATTAAATACAAATTTAATTGGGATGACGCATAACTCTGTATAAGAGTGATCGAGTGTAGATGGAGAATCTGGAGTTCAATACTTGACTCTCGTTCCATGCCTCAGTTTTATAAGAGGTTGATTGAAGAGTTGAAAGTTACGAGTAAAGAAGTTATGAGATGAACGGTAACCCGTTTCGGGAACCCATGCATATATCATTCTACAAGCTTAATAAATAGGCACAGATGAGTTATGATGCCATCATATAATCTAATTGCTTGAACAGTACTATATAATCCATGTATATTTGACCTGTGCGGTATTGTCGTAGCTACCAGACACTAAGTGCCCACTGAAATGCGGACTCCAAGCTAAGCACACCACTTTTTCAGAGTGTCCATTCAACGTTGCTACTATCCTGTGCATCGTGCGTTGTTGAGAATCATCATCGTTGTCTATAACGTCCTCGGCACCTGTCGCTTCTAATTCCTTTATCAGCTTTGACATATCAAAAACCATTATGCTACACGAATCAGAGGCAACAGCTAAGTAGTTGGCAATTGGCGACATGCATTTATCTGCCATTGTGCTTTCGGGATGCCACGCCAAGCAATTCACCATGGCCCTTAAAATGTGTATCGAGTTTCCGCGTTTCCTCAGCTTCTGATCGTAGAATATAATTGACCTAAGAGAAACAAAATACGTTTAAAGCATTTCTTCAATTATTTTTCAAGAAAGTATGTTTTATATATGTAAATATATACCCATTTTCTAATGCGGTTGCTAAGCACAAGTCGGATTTCCAAGAAAATTCCAAACATCCTTCCTTTATTACAGACATAGGTTCTGAAATAGAAGTAGCAATATAATAAAATGCAACAAAACGATGAGTATTAACATCTTACCATCACTCGGCGCGGATTTTTTGTACGCTACTAATTCTCCTTCTGCACAGGAGAACAAGAAGGATTCTGATTTAAGTTTAGCCCATTCAAGCTTGTAAATGGTATTTCTGTGATATTGTCTGTACAATATAGGTGGTTTGTTAGTTCCAATTGCATCAAATACACCAACGCGACCCTCTCCAGTACCAAAAGCAATAGTGGATTCATCCTCCGGGGACCATGATACCTAGTGTAATAAAATATATTTTTGTAATATTAATTCATAATTCATTTCTTTCACATGAGAATATACTTATTTCAAAAAACAACAGATCTTGTACGAGAATTTCTTACCGCTCTTATTTTTCCTTTTATCTTCTGCCAATGCATAACAACGTCAAAAGTGGTTGCATGAGGTTCAGACAAGTTCCACAGACGCAACATCATGTCTCCTGCGCCGAATGCAATACGCGAGGTATCAATAGGACAAGCGCTCATGCAGTAGACAAATCCTCCTTGCGTAGGAATCTTATGTTCCAGAATCGCCGATTTCGTAGGATCGCTGTCACGTTTGCAACATATAACCCAGCGATCTTGTGCCAAAGACCAAACTCTGAGTCTGAGAAAATATTAACAATATTGAAAAATTTCAATACTCATATATTCGTAATTTATGCGAAGCGTTTACTCACTCAGAATCTGTCTTCAAATCGTCAGATATTGCGTCGTATTTGGGTACGGTAGCTATGGAAAATAATCCCCTATTATGAAACGTATGGAACAATTTGTACTCAGGCTTGTCTTTGTTTGACGAAAGATCCCAAGAAAGAAGTTCGCCCCAAAGAGAGCTAGTCAGAAGCATATTAGGCTTTGCCCAACACACTGCAATCCAAGTTCCATTCGTACCACTGAGCTTGCTTTTATGTGATATAGCCATGATTGGTGTACTTGGTAGGTGTATTACAGTTTCATATCTACCATCTCTACCAGCTCTCCAAATGAATACAGATCTGAACATAAAAAAGATGAATATAACAGTAGGAATTTCTTATAAGTTACTTGTTTCTTGCTTTTTTTTAGTACAACAATGTATGTACATTCACATATAATTTTACAAACATAATTAATTTAGTAGTATATAAGAGAAAAGATATGTACATATTACGAAAGCTTTGTCTCACCTATCTTTTGCGCCAGAAGCTAAAAGTAAATCTCTCTTATTTCCTCCATTTAACACATTCATGTCTGAAGGGCACCAAGATAAGCTAACTATGTCCTCGTTGTGTCCCCTCATTTTATATAATATCGTTTCTTTCTGAACAATATAAACTAGTCCGCTTTTAGTACCTATCGCTACAAGACCAGAATCATGAGGACAGCAAGCTAAACATGTAGCAGTTAGCTTGCCCAGAGGTACTATTTTACAAGTCTGATACTGTATATTACAGTACATTAGCAAACCATCCGAATTCACTGCGCATGCAAGATTACTATCTTTGGCTGACCAGTCAACCCCTACAATCAGTTTACTTCCCTGTATTAATAAAGATATATTAATATGAGTTACAGAAGTAATTAAAAGATCACTTTTTTTAACGTTTATTACGAAATATATTTAATTTTTTTCTATCGCGTCCTACTTACTTCAGCGAAAGGAAATTCCACTAATAACTCTAAGGTATCCACATTCCAAACCCTGGCTTTATTATCGTCACCGCCACAGATTAATAACTCGGGACTATCCGAGTTCTCGAGCTTAGGACAAAACGCCAACGCGGTTACTTTGTCTTTAAAGTAGTCCTTGATTATAGAATACTGCATGACATTATCCTCTTTCGGCTTGGCGATGACGATAAAGTTCCTCGCGCCCCACGCCACAGTTCCACGACTCGAGCAGGCGAGGACATTGCTCAAATACCAGTTCGGCGAGGGAGGCAATGTTACTTCGTTCATTCTGTCGCGTTGTATTCCCTGTTAACAAAAGGAAGAGTCCTTGTAAGATTAATCCAGATAGACAGATCTGTTAAAAGTGTCTGCTGCAAACAGGCAGAAGTATAATAGATCGGCGCGCAGTTCATCAAGCTGGAATATATATGTGTATTAAATACACTGTAATTTGTTACTTATTAATTTCTAGCTATATTTGCGCACCAAGTACCGCGCCTGACTTGCATTGCCGTTGATCATTTATTGACACTTTTACGAGCCTAACTACATATTTATAATAGATCAGTTATTAACTAGTATGATAGCAAATTGACTGCAAAAACTGGGCAGAATCTGCCCTTTCATAGGTCTTTAAACGATCTGTTTCATTTAAATGATTATAAAATGCTTGGCATCCGCTGGCAATTCGCTCTTAGATTATATCAGCAGGCTCTACCGACGAAACACGAGTTTAATCGCAGGTATATACAATTGACGCCAATCTGCTGCAATACTCTGCCGGAATCTGCTAATAAATTACTAGTTAACATTTTGCTTAGATACTGGCAAAAGTCCTTTTTACTTTTAGTTTTTACTTGCAAAACTATGAAATATAGAAATATACACATACATATAATTATATAAAAATTTATATATAATTATAAGTATATATAACATTAAAATATACAAATATTATAAGTAAAATATGAAGATAAAATATATAAACAAGCAAAAATGTAAGGTGCAAAGTTTCGAATCACTTGTTTGAATCCACTTCTAGAACTCCACGAGGCGTGTCTTTGTTTTCATTCTTGCGCGCAGCCGGTCGATTGGAGGTTAACCGGTGTGCGGCCACCTTCAATCGTGGATTAATTATCGCACGACGTCCGTCGGCGACGATAGAACGGAATCGGAAACAATGTAAGCTTCAAATACCTATTACCTTGCTTGATTTGCAGTCGTAGTCAGTTGACGCTTTACGTTATCTGAGTTTCGCTGTTTATCGACCGTCTCGCAGGAACACGCGTGACAAATTAAGGACCTTGGTAGGTACGCGCAGTCTGACTGCCCGCGACGGTTATGTACTAAAAGCGCTAAAGCAGATCTCGTACTGATATTTATATGCTTGACAAAACACTTTTTCTTGCCAAAACATCGTATGTTTATATCAAGCGACAGAGGCCGAAAACGTTGATCTTTTAAAAGCGATAAAACCTGACAAACATGCGCGATGTATAAAAGCTGCAAAAAAAAAAAATCAAAGTATAAAGTGAAAAGATAACGAGATGCGCGTAATTAAATTCATATAAATCCCACTAACGAAGGTGGAGTAACACAAAACAATATATAAGACTATTATATTTTTCGTCAATGTGTTGAGTAAAAGTTTATAAATATGTTATATATACGTTAATATTCTTAAATTACGCAAATATATTTCTATTAATTCAATATATACATTTTTCCCAGTAAAAATTAGCCAATCGTGCTTATAACATTGAAAAAAAGAATGGCGATCAATTAATTTTTATGGTATTCTGATTAGATAAATGTGACGCTAATAGATAAATGAATCTAAACTTCAAGTTAAAAATCTATCGAAGTAAAACGAGAAATCGAGAACGAAAATGAAATACGAAATGAGAAAAAATGTTGCGAATTCAATTTTAATTCATTTTTAATTGAACATTTGTAGCTTCGAATATTTAATTGAACATTTTACAAGGGAAAATAAAACTTAATTTTTTAATGTATTTTTTTTTATTGTTTCTTTATTATTTCTTTATTGTTCCATTTCAAGTCTTTCAACTGACTCGCGACCAACTTTACTGAGATCTGCGAATTTGAATTTCACGTTCTCATCAATTAATGAAATTTTTATTTTTATTCTATTTATCTCGGAAGTGTCAAAATATCAAAATTACATTGCAGGTAGCATGCTACTTTATAAGAGAAATTTGTTCTATCGTTTTTAAACACGTATCATATACTATTGAAGATTGAGAATTGGAGATTTTAGAATTCGATCGATCAGAGCGATTAAATTTCATTAGCTGAATGGAATCTTAAAATTGCCCATCAGGAACCAAACTCGAAGCGATCTTAAATAAAACCGGATTATGAATATCGCCCTATTAGAAACAACTTAAAACAATTTTAAGGATCACGCCAGTGTCTGGCCTTATAGAAAAGCGTTCCGAGAGGCACGTTAAATTTTCCAGCTAGAACAAATACCTCCAACTATACATAGAATATAGATAGGAAAAATAAACTGCGACTAGAGGAGGCAGGCGCAGCTTTCTTACTTAGCGCGAATAAGGCTACACATGTGCTCGATTAATTTTCGTTACACAACTCGTGCATTTTCATAACCACTAGATGAGTAATAATTTTCTATCTCCCTCTTCCTATCTTTCTCTTTCTCTCTACTCCGATTGATAAACGATTCGTCAGCGTTTTTTAGAACGCGCAAAGAGAGGATTGTGACGGAGAGCTCAGTTGTGCGGTAATTCTCATTTTGCTCTTTCATCATTGCTGCATCTCGACGCCTCGGAGGATCCGCGGTGTCTGATCAGTCTGACTCGATTCGAACCTTCGTCATCGGTCCACGCGACATGATGCGGCCGATCGTGATCGCCGCGTTCCTTTTGCTCTTCTGCGGTCTCGCTGTGGCCGTGACATTTGACATCTCGCGTGACCTCTCGCTGAGCGCGCTCATGAAGGCAATGCGGGAGAGTGAGGAACGGCCGAGCAGCGCCAAATTCGACCCCGACGTCAACCTTAACACGGTAAGTGGATGAACATAATTTTTCCTACATTCCACACACAATTATATATTTTATAATACAATCTTATTAATCATCTCAATTACAATCTCGAGATATGATATTGCTAATTCATTGGTCGAATGGAATCTTGAATTCACTTGCGATCAGACTTAAAACAATCTAAATGTAAGATTGAGCTATGAATACCTTAGAAAAGAATAAAATCTTCATTTCAATCGGCAAAGATCGTATTTATAGTTCGATCTTGTATTTGAGATTTCAAGTACGATCTTCAGATGGTGCTTCAGGTGATCATTTCATCGGCTATATAAATGAAATCTTAAGATTATTTAAAACGATCGTAAATATAATCGGACTATGAATGTCGCTCTAAAAAATCATATTTGCATACTACATACTGCAGGTATATTAATAACGATCTTACGCAGATCACCCTTCTGCATGTGTGTGATTAAAAGATCTAAACTTCTGATAAAGCTACTCCCCTAGCATTAATTACGATTTTAATATTCACAAAAATATATATATATTTTTGAGAATTATTTACTTTTAATTTTGTCCAATAGCTAATGAATTTTCTTCTTCTCTTGTATTAAACTTTAAATATATGACAATATTTGAAACAATCGCTTTTTAATGTCTTTAATACCTATTGTACTTTTTCTAAAAATGTTTTCTATATAGAAATAGATATTTAAATCTATTTTTAAAACTATTAAATCTATTTTTCAATTGCAGTTGTCCAACAATTAAATACCAGAAAATCTCTTAAAATTTACGTTCGTAATATCATTTCTATCAAACTTCACGTTTTGTAATATAGCATGAATGGATTTTGAAATTTATCCTGCAGTTTTTGGAAATGATTTCATTACGATCACATATTTAGTTAGATATACATATAATATTGTTTAACTTCATTGTTTCGAAGTTAAATAATAATAGTTATTTGTGTAACAAGTGAGGTAAGATGAAAATTCCCGGGTGCGGAGTTTACGCACGAGCCGAAGGCGAGTGCGGTAACCGCACCCGGGAATTTTCATCTTTACACACGGCTTACACTCCCTATTTTATGTTGCAAGTGCCTGGAAAGTGGTCTATCACGCACGCGTAGCGTGCGTAATGGGGCACATTCCATGCACGTGTTGCATAAAGTCATTTGTTATATCAATTAAATAAATAAATAAATGCTTTGTATTTATTGCAAAAAACCGTAAATCGTTTCAAATAAATCATTTATAGAGAATTTTTTATATTTACAGAATAAATACGTATCTTATCATAAAAGTCAATAAATTTGACTTTTCGATAGATTTTGAGATCACGATTTGTGCTACTTATAGTGGTAAATAAAGTGTTTTTACTTCTTTCAGCTGCAGATGATAAGAAAAGCTGGTTATCCCGCGGAGGCTCATGTTATACAGACAAAGGACGGTTATCTCTTGACTCTTCATCGTATCCCAGGTGATAAGGATCAACCACCCGTGTTGTTGCAGCACGGTTTTCTGTGCAGCTCCGCCGATTGGGTCATCTCTGGAAAAGATAAAGGACTTGGTACCATCTTAATTAATTTTAAAAAATTGTCGATTATGCTTCTATCGGAAAAATTCCAAGATAAATTATCAAACTCCAACGGAAAATGTGCAAAGAAAATTTCCTAGAACAAATTCTAACGCGTCTTGGTTTTTGAAAGTTTTTATTTTTATTCTTAGTATTATATTAGTAGCTATATATAGTATTGTATATATATATAGCATAGTACGTTATATAATTGATATTTCGTAAGCAAACAATTTAGTCTATTGAAATTAAATATTTTTCCTTCTGATTTGACATAAAATTTCACTTTACTTAAAGTTGAATAAATGTGTAAGAAAATGATTAGATAGCATGTGATGTGGCTAGATGTGTATACAATATTATTAAACTTAATTATTTACATATAAATAATTACCGCAAACAATATTTTCTTTTTTATGTTAGCTTTCATATTGGCTGATCAAGGATACGACGTTTGGTTGGGCAATATTCGTGGAAATACTTATTCGAGGGCGCATGTTTCTCTATCTCCATCGGATTCAAAATTTTGGAATTTCAGGTATTTACACTAATAAAGTAAAAATAATAGCGCGTTAAAAATGACATAGTTGTAACAATATGTTAACTTATAATAAAAAACAAAAGTTGTCTAATTAATTTTATATTATTATAGCAGTGTACTTTGTTATGTTTTGTGATGGTATATCGATTGAATTTTTCGAATTTTCAGCTTTCACGAAATGGGCGTCTATGATTTACCTGCGATGATCTTGTATATCACGAATATGACATCGCAACCGTTGCACACATACATCGGTCATTCGATGGGGTCAACTGCTTCTTACGTGATGGCAACGGAACGTCCGGATATCGCTCGAATGGTGCGAGCGATAATCAGCTTGGCGCCTGTAGCCTTTTCGAAACATATAAAAAGTCCAATAAGAATTTTCGCTCCTTTCGTGAACGACTATGAGGTAATATGCCCGAATGTACTGTTACAAATGATTCTACTTTAAGATTAGGATCGAAGGTTGCTTATGAATTCAGTTCGTTAAAGAATAATTTAAATACTGGTTAAAACCTAAACAATTAAATTACAAAAAATTATATCGCGGTTAAGGGATCTGGGAATTACAGATAATCGCGCATTTCCTTGGCGAGAACGAGTTTCTACCGCGGAATTGTGTACTGCGTTTTCTGGCGAAGTACGTCTGCGAAGGGAACGACTTTGAGAAGGAGATCTGCACCAATACGTTATTCCTGATCTGTGGATTCGACAAAGAACAGTTTAATTATGTGAGCATTCCACGAACGTCGTGATCGAAGTGCAACTCCGATCAGCGCTTGTCACGTTTCGCACGCGCGATCACGTCTCAGATCGGATGTTATACTGTTTTCTAGACTCTGTTACCTGTAATTCTGAGTCACGACCCGGCCGGCGCCTCAACTAAAACGTTGTTGCACTTCGGCCAGGAGATCGAGTCGGGCAAATTTCGCCAATACGATTACGGAAGCGAGAAAAATCTGTTAATCTACAACGCAACAGAACCGCCGGACTACAATCTAGCGAACATCACCGTGCCGATTGCGTTATTTTACGCCGACAATGACTGGTTGGCTAACAGCCTGGTAGGTAACAAGAAAATGTATTTAGATCGAAAACAAACGTGGAAGATACATATTAGATTCATGTTAATTTTGTGTAAATCAAGCTTTATACAGAGTTGGGTAAAAAATGTAAGATAACATACGATAACTCATGATATTTCTTCAAGGACGTGAAGAAACTTTACAGTATGTTACCCAACGTACTGGACCTATACAGAGTACCGTTCCCTAAATTCAATCACCTGGACTTCATATGGGGCAAAGACGCGTTTGAGCTCGTGTACAAAAGATTGCTTGAGATCATGAAGAAGATTTGAGAGTCAGTCGAATAATGTTATGTCAATAATAAAGATAATAGAAGAATATGGGATACTGGTACACTAGTTTTTTCGATGCAACTGCGACCGTAAATTAAAATTAATTTAACTCATAGTATTTTGAAGTAGCTTATATACATATATATATGTAGGTGAAAAAAATATGCTAATAATAAATATCTAAGTAATCACTTTGATGTAGATCTCGATAAGTCACAGGAGGATTTATAGGCTGCATTCCAATATTTACTGTTAGCAACTGTCAGTACTGAAAATTTATAGTGTATACATGACGTAAAATATCGAAAAATATAGATTTTTAGTACTGACAGTAAATATCGGAATGTAACCGTAATGTAAGCAAATATGTATAAAAGATTATAATCCAATTGTAATCTAATCATAGATACTTTACTGTTTACCTGACTATTAGTAAGATTTTT